ATTATTGATCTTGTATCTGGCCCCTCCCTGGGAAAATACTAACTAGCAATTTTCTCTTTTCTAGTTATACCAAACATCCAAATTAAAGAAAATCAAGAGAAGAGACAAATTCATATTTTATAAAGTGATGCATATAAGATATTTGAAGTCACTTCTCCCTGAAAATCTTGACAATCACTCCTACTTGTTCGGAGCCCTCTGAAGAAGGTTTCAGGAAGTACACAAACTGAGGAGATGACCTATTAGCAAACAAAAACAGAAGTCTGGATGTGAAATATACTTGTTTTTTAGTGTTTGCAAATATTAAAAATGATACAAAATTATTTCCAAATTTAATAATCTTTTTTTACAAAGATTATGGCACTAAAATAATGCCCTTGGTTCTATAAATATATAGATTAGCGATAAACAAACAAACAAAATCCCTTTCCATGAAAACTATAAGAAGTGGAAGCTTAACAAGATTAATTTGGAATATATTTCTTTATATTTAGCCAGTAAAAAAGTATAAATTCTATATAAGTACAAATTTTTAAACAAAATTTTTGTAAGTTTTTTAGATATATGTATATGTTTTGTGCAGTAGTACTGGAAAATGACATTGAACAACTTTTTAATTGTAGATGCCAAACAATTAAATTTTTAATACAATTTAGAGGACATAAATTAAAAGTCAGTATCTCTTTAATAGACTTAAGAGAAAAGATGTCACATTTAGCCATTATATTTTCAATGGATTCATGTAAAAAATGTACAATAAATAAGGAAGATGCAAGAAGAGTTCATGCCATTGAATTGTGTTAGCAAATGAAAAAAAAAGGAGGAGGGACAGGCAGTATCTAAATCTAAAGCAAAGTTCTTTATATTACTCTTAGAACAGAAAATATGTTCTAACTGTTTTATGTGCTGAAATATCAACTTGTGTATTAAACTGATAATCACATTTATTGAATTAAAAAAAAAGAATATTGAATGTACTATAAACTGTCACAAGAACATCAAATTTGTCTTAGGAGAAGTGCTTCCAGAATTTTTAGAAATGTGAATGAAGATACTTTGTCTCACATGTTTTAAACCCATTATTGAAGTAGATAAATTCCTGAAGAATGGCATCATGTTTGGTAGAACTAGAACTCAAAAGTATTTCTGTAGGGTCAGAATCAATTCAGAACTGACCTTTCAGCAGGTTCTTAAGAAGAGGCTGTTAAATGAATGGAAAGAGATTGCTCATCTTTCTCCTGAGGCGCAACTGGTAAAGTCAAACCTTCAGGAGGCATGACCTTCCGTTTAGCACTGCAACTTTCTATGGACCAGGCCTCTAGAATTAGTAAGTCCACCATGAAAGACAGCATGCTTCAGTTAAACAAAATAGGAAGGCCCTCAAGAAGATGAATCGTCATAGTGTCTGCAAAATTGAGTTCAAGTCCTGCTTTGATTATAAGACCAGCATAGACAGGGCAGCATTTTCTTTTGGTTTATATAGCGTAAATCAGTTTATATACTGTTTTGACAAACAATACTTTACAGCCACAAATCTGCATCTTGATATAAGAATAAAATATAATGAATAAGAATATGTGAAACAAACGTGAATGAATGGTAGTGTGAAACACGATGTGTATGAACTCTGTACACAAATCAATGTTAAATTTTAAAAGGTGATAAAAAAAAATTCCTATCTATATGTATTTATTAATTTTGACACTTTTTAACTTTAGAAAAGTTGTGTACCAGTATAAATCAATTTAATCCAAACAAGGAATTTAATATTAAAAATTATCACTACTATGTATTGATAATAACAATATATGAAACACATGACTCCATGTAAAGTTTTACATATTGGAATGATTTTATTAAACATCTTTTCCTTTTACCTGTATATTGGCCTTTAACAAACCTATGGAAACACTAAAAAAAAATTCCCTGAACTCTTTTGTCAATCCTGGTCTGGTGCCATGGTGTCATACTAGTTGCTTGCTTTGTGTTGTCAAAATCTCAATGGACATTCCCAAGTGAATACAAATGAAACAAATATTCGAATCAACACCCAGGCCAACATTTCTTGGAATTATGATTTCTGGTGAGTCTCTACTGCATTATCTAAACTAATAAGTGTAGGGATGAGAGATGATCCTGCATGTTTGTTTTAAATATAGTCAAACAATTTTACTTTAAAAAAATTTGTTCACATGATGACTGTGGAATAGCTATCAACAAACCAAACCAGTGAATAATAAAAGGTAATATATCAAAAATTTTATATACATTACATATTAAGAGGAATCCTTCTGAAATTATGAAATTATGTTGTAGTTAAGTCTGGTCAAGTTGGTATAATTCATATATAGTCAACTCTCTTATGAGTTTTCAAAAGTAGTAAAAAGCAGCCTGCCTTTAAGTTAGAAGTGCAATTCCTTTCTTACCACAGCCCTGAAACCCTAAGAGGACAATTCTATTACATCCAGTAAGACAGCTATGGTTTACAACCATCTACAAGGCAAATTGACATACAACTATTAATTTAAGGCAAAATTTAGGAAATGGAATATACATTGAGTCGTTAATATTGTCAATGAAACTTTTCCAGAGTTTAGAACTCAGACCTATCCTCAGAAAAATAAAAAATTATAGTAACTTACAAAACAATTACATTAAGTGGCAAAATGTATAATAAAAGAATACATGACTTAGAAATGGAGCCTGAATTGTAAAAAGAATTTGTAACACTTAAAAAATTAAAATCATATTTAAAAACAAATTATCATTAAGTAGAGGTTTGAAGAATAAGTGAGACTTATTAAATTTATATACTGCCATTATATATTTATATATTGTGATTGAAGCAGTAGTTTGCTGTTTGATTATTGTCTCTCATATATGATTTCTAGGAGATTTTTTTTCTTAATAACGTTAACTCTTTAATTACTTTGCTTTCTACATTATTGGAAATGCTTACTTTCATCTTGTTGTTGTGTGCTTTCAAGTAGGAACCTACTCATAGCTGACTCTCCAGGGAGTTTTCAGAGGCAGTAAATCACACGGAATGAGATTACCATTCTCCTGTGAAGCAGCTGGTGGATTCAAACTGTATGATTTAGGGATTGATAGAATCCATTATGTTATGTCTCAAAAATCCTTTCCCCCACTAGATATAGTTCCTATATGCTGTTTTTGTTGTTGTATTACTTCTTTTTATTGATTGTGATATTTTCTCCAAGCTTTCACTTAAAATTTCTATAGAATAGCATTTATGTCTTACTATATTTTTTTTTATTTCTAGGAATACTCTCTTGTTACCTGGAATTTTATAGCATAATACATTCTATCATTTAAAGAATTTACCAATATTTTTGAAGATTAGAAATACTTGTTTAGAAAATGCATTCTCTTCCTTTTTTCATTTTGTGCATAAACGTGTTTTGTGTGTGTGTTTGTGTTCTCTTCCTTAGAGATCTCCAAATTCCATTTTCAAGCCTTCCTCAAAGATAAAATTATCTTTAAAATAATGTTTTAGATTTAAACATTATAATTATTTCACAGCATAGTACAGTGTGATCATTACTTTCCAGTCTTTTTTTCAGAAAATGTTGCCCCATTTACTAACATTTAAAAAATTCACAAGTTGTTATATTTTTATGTCTAAATATGACTACACAGTAATATCCAAACTCTTCAAAAACTACAGATTTTTCATTTTTCTTTCTCTAATCTCTTGGCTTCATTCTCAATTTCTCTGTATATATTCTTTCTAAATTGATGAGTGTTACTTTTTTTTTTAATCAGCCTGTGACTTGGGGTTTAAATACAGGAAACTATTCAAAGAAAAGAAGAATTACTAACAACAGCTGGAAGTGGTCAATGCATTATCTTAATTAAGTAACAGAAAAACAGAGTGATGTAATGTCCCTTCTTCTACAGTGCCCACAGTATGCAGATGTTCTAGTAGAGGTGGTATTTTAAGTAGAAATTTTGAAATTTGATGAGTGGTCAGATAGATCTTCACAGTAGAAAAAAAAGAAAATAAAATTTTTGAATAAATATAAAATGACAATTGATAATAAGAATTTAACATAGATTAAAAAAAACACCCAGAAGATCAAAATAATGACACTTGATTGTAGGAAGTTTACTTTGCATTATTGTGCAAACTGAACTGAAGAAAGAAATACAGCTCCTCAACATGAACTCATTTACTGCTGCAACAAATCTTTGGAGTCAAATTCAGAAGAAAAACTTCACTCTCTGAAGTTCACACATTTGTGTATTTAAGAGTCTGTAAATTTTCAAAGCATAAAATGTATGAAATCATACCTTGATGACCTCTAATTTTATATGAGCCAATGAAACGTGTAGTCTAATAAATAGGGAGCTCTGGTGGCCTAGTGAGAGGAAGCTGTGCTGAAATCCCGAAGACACGTGGTTTGAGGCCACCAGCTGATCCATGGGAGAAAGACGGGCAATCTCCCCTCTTGGAATTAACTGCCTCAGCTAGGTGTCAGATTGACTTTACAGTACTTAACAACAACAATCTGATAAATAATTTTTAAAACATATTTATTTTATTTCATATATTTAGTATAATGCGTTTTGATTATAAATGATTACATCTCAAATTGGATCTCACTCATTCAGCCACTCACACTCATTTGACATCAATGCAATTTGGATTTGTAAAGACTCTCAAGGACTGTGAAGCTGAACAAGAAGAGACTATTATCTTTCCCCAAGGAGCCCCTGGTGACTTTGAACCACCATAACATGGGCTCTTAACCTCTTAGTTACCAGTTAACAGCAACTAGTCCCAGTCTATGTCACTAGAGTTCATAAAAAGAGGATTTTTTTTATTAGCTAGTTTTATTATGTTGTTTAAAAAGGAAATAAAAAGAATCGTGAACAATTTAAGCTCTAAGTAATCTAAAGAAAGAAAACATTTGATTTATTTAGCAGCTTTATTTGCTTTTCTCTTTTTTAGAAAAAAAAAAACACATGAATACCTGATGGAAAATTATAATCACACATCAAATGATTTTACATTGTTAGGACTGTTGCCTTCATCAAGGATTGGAGTACTTCTCCTCATTATCATCATTCTCATTTTCCTATTAGCGCTGATTGGAAACTTGTCCATGATCCTTCTCATCTTCCTGGGCACTCATCTCCACACACCCATGTATTTCCTCCTGAGCCAACTCTCTCTCATGGACCTGAATTACATCTGCACCATTGTTCCCAAAATGGCTTATAACTTCCTGCTTGGAAACAAATCTATCTCTATTATTGAATGTGGAGTTCAGAGTTTCTTCTTTTTGACCTTGGCAGGTGGAGAAGGACTTCTCTTGGCATCTATGGCCTATGACCGTTACGTGGCTATCTGTTTTCCTCTTCACTACCCTATTCGTATGAGCAAAAGTTTGTGTGTGCTGATGACTATGGGATCTTGGACACTGGCATCCATAAATGCCTGTGCTCACACAGTTTATGTACTCCATATTCCCTATTGTCGATCTCGAGACATCGATCATTTTTTCTGTGATGTGCCAGCCATGGTGTCTCTGGCATGCATGGACACATGGATCTATGAGTACACAGTTTTTGTGAGCACTGCTATATTCCTCCTGTTTCCTTTTATTGGGATTACTTGTTCTTATGGCCGGGTTCTCCTTGCTGTCTTCCGTATGCCCTCATCAGAAGGGAGGAAGAAGGCCTATTCTACGTGCAGTACCCACCTCACTGTAGTGTCTTTCTATTATGCACCTTTTGTTTATACTTACCTACGGCCGAGATCCTATAGATCTCCAACAGAAGACAAGGTTTTGGCTGTTTTCTATACTGTCCTCACTCCCATGCTCAATCCTATAATCTATAGCCTTAGGAACAAGGAGGTACTAGGGGCCCTGAGAAGAGTTACTCAAAGACTCTACTCTGTGAAATGGTAGACAGACTTTCTGCATCAGTCTTCATGCTGGAGGTGTCTGTCTATTCAACAGAAAAGAGTCATTTAGGGAAAATGTTATTCAAGGCAGGATGGCTACTGAAGTTAAATTGGAAGGGTTTTATAAAAAATTTTGTGTTTGTCAAATTAATTCTATTTCACGAAGTTATAATTTGCCTTACGTAACTTTTACAATAAATGTAAAATACAAGGCCACTAAATTTCAGAAGTAAAAAGGTTTTATTAAAAGAAATTAACTTAGAAATTGTTCAAAAAGAAAATAGTGAAAATATAAATTGTTCAAAATGAAAATATCTTTCCTCAAATTTTTCTAGGACATCTATTTCATTTCATAAATTAACCAACTTAAAGCAACAAAATTTAAAAAATTCTGGTAAAAGCAATATATTATATTCTCCATTAACTTGCTCTGAATAAGTGTATCATTTCCATTTCCCACTCCTTAAGTAGACATGACAAATTTAAAGTGAGATTTAGAATGTTGTACACAATTATGAAGAATTATCTATTAAGTTTATGTCTTATGGGAGAGAAGTCCTCAATTTCAGCCTCTCAAAATTTAAAGTACGAGACAGACTAAAATTTTTCATTCCATGTGACCACTAGTATTATTATATAAAGCAAATTATTTTGTTTATAATCTTATTTTTCACTCATTAGATTCATGATTATATTCAGACTAAGGGACATGGCTGAAGATTCAAATTATCTGCACCAATATTGGAAATTGACACATTCACTTGGTGATGCACCTAAACAGGTGTCACCATTATTTCTGTTTTAAAAAAATTTAGACACACTCTTACGTGCATATATGTATATATTGAGTACAGAGGAAGTACTCTGCTGGAGGAATTACTACTCAGTAATGTGAGTAGAACTGGATTTGTGAGAGAATGCTACTTATTAATGTGAGTAGAAATTGGAAATTACTGGACAATATCATTAATACCATATGCAAGCAAACTATTACTAAAGATTGTTTTAAAACGGCTGCAATGGTATATGTATAGGAAAATAACATAAGTTTGAGGTGAGTTTAAAAGAGGGTATGGCACCAAAGATATAATTGCTGATGTCAAACTATGCCTAACATTGAGAAGAAAGGAAATCCTAGACGACTTAATTGTGTTCATATGAAATCTTTATCTAGAGACCAAGAAGCTATTGTCCAAATAGAACAAGTGAATATTATACGGTTTAAAATCAGAAATTATGTGTCTCAGGGTTGTATCTTTCTCCATATCTATTCAATTTATATGCTGAGAAAATCATGAATCTTAACTCTATGAAGAAGAACGTGTCATCAGGATCAGAGGAAGACTCATAACCTTCATTATGCACATGGTACAATTTTGCTTACTGAAGAAAACAAAGGTCCTTAGCACTGAGCCAATAGGCAACTTCATGAAGGCCTGAGAAAGGATTAAAATTGTCAATGATTTCATCTTATTTGGATCTACATTCAATGTTCTTGGTACCAAATAGCTACATGCCAAATTTATACCTGGGAAATGGTACAATCTTCTTCATCATTTTCATTGAATAGAATGTACTCAAACACAGAATCTTCTCAATAATTTTTACTACACAATCTTAAGCAATGTTCTCTTTCTTAATTATGAAAAAATGACCTTACTCCAAGTCTTTGTCTTTTATTTCATATATTCTTTTCTATCAATGCATGAGCTGAATTAAAATAGAAATTAGAGATCTACAATATCTCCTGAAGTCCTTTGATCACAGAAATTAGTTCCATTGTATTCAATAAGAGAATATATTTTAAAACCCTATAAATTTAGGTTGTTGTGTTGTTATGTACCATAGAGTCAAAACCAACTCATCACTGACTCTCCACTGGGTTTTCAGAGGCAGTTAATCACATGGGAGGAGGTCGCTCATCCTTCTCCATCAGACCAGCTGGGGCCTTGAACAGCGTGCCTTCAGGATTTCTGAATACCTTCTTGCCATTAGGCATCAATAAGCCAGGCTAAAACTCATAAGTAAATCTCAATACGAGATAGAAAATAAATCGTGTGAAAATGATATTGATGACTTTCTTGGAGTTAATCTTACCCTGTAGACCATGTGGCAGACCTCATTGTAATTTGGATCAATTTAGTGCTGTTCACATAAATTTCCTTAGTGGCTATGCACATGTACTGCTCTATTGAATGAATTCTTGAGTTACTATCTTTTACCATAGTTTCTCAACAGAGCTTGGGAGGTCTGTCTTGGCCAAAGGTCTGATTTGAGAAGGTAAATGTGTATTTGATATCTGTAAGAGACACTGGTTAACATCCACCTGGTGTATCTTAAGGTGGTAGCTTTATTTTTTTTTCTATAATTATATTTTATTAATTTTCATAAACATTTACAGAGATTTTGGGCTTCCACTCATTCATTGTTGCACTATTCTCTCTACCCTCCTCCC